TTTTAATTAATAGATAAAAACGCTAAACCATGCGTTTGTGTAACGCCAAGGGACACACATATAAAACGCCAAACACACACACACACACATAAAAAATTTATTTAAAATAATTATTTTATTAATTATAAAAATTTTTAAACTATATTCTTAGATACAAATTAAGACCATCACTTAATTATAAATATATATGAAAAGAGTGTAAATTTATTTAAAATAATTATTTTATTAATTATTAATTATTTTTAAAAATTAGAATTGATATAAATGAATCTCATTAATTTTAATATTATTATTATATAAATAAAATTAATTAAATATATAATAATTTAAAATTAATTATTTTTAAAAATTAGAATTGATATACATTTTTTCCCAATTATATTACCTTAAATAAACTATCATGTCACTCTATGTTGAGATACTGAATATAAAACTATGGTGGGAGTAATTTCTTTAAAAAATTAATTTATTATCAAAATTATTTTAAATTATAAAATATTAATCATTAATAAAAAAATCTAATTATATTAGGAGCTTCTTTCTTTTAAAAATTTTTAGTTTATAACTTAAATGATATAATAATAAAGTCCTCTTTAAACTTATAATAAGCAATTGACATGAAAATGAATACCAACCACAAAGTGGGCGCATGGTGAGCGACTTTATTGAATGTATATTTAAGGATATTTATTTCAGTTTTTAATAAATAGCTATTAATTTTTAATTTTAATTAAATAAATTAAATATTTTAAATTGTAAATAATAATTATTATTAATAATTAAATATCAATTATTAATCATACCTGAACAAGAAATCTAAACCTCATTAATATTGAAAGCCAAAATGGGGAGACAGCTGATCCAGTAATTCATTTTTAAACCTTAAAACACTTAAATTTATTAATCAAGATTTCAATTCCACCAATATCCTAGAAAAAAAATCTTTTCCCCCCCAAATTATAGATTGTTAAAAAAAAAAAAAAAAAAGGGGAAAAAGAGAAAGCTTCTCTCTAAAGTCTAAATAGATAAATGGGGAGCAGCCCGGGACGTCTAAGAGACAGCTTATATCCTAAGTCGGCTACGTAATTCGAAAATATCTTCTTTTAATCGAACGGCTGAGGTCGAAACATAGAACATGGAATCATGATTTGACTGACCCACCATTCGTCTAAATGGACGGCGGTGATCAGACAACCCGTGGCCCGTGCATGAACTTCGTCGCGTGGTGGACATGTGATAATTTGCGTCCACCCCTACCGAAAGGGTCCCACAGCTTTCGTCCTGAGCTGACATCATCTGACTTTTTTAGCTGGAAAAGTGTCGTTGTTGGCTGCCCTGCGCACTGGCTGCTCACTCAGATTTTGACTCACAGTAAAAAAAATTTTTTTAATAGATTTTTTTTGGTAAATAAAAAATTTTAATTAATAGATAAAAACGCTAAACCATGCGTTTGTGTAACGCCAAGGGACACACATATAAAACGCAAAAGACACACACACACACTTAAAAAATTTATTTAAAATAATTATTTTATTAATTATAAAAATTTTAATATTATTAAATACATTTTAGTAAATATAAATTTTTTATTAAAAAATTATAAATATTAAATTAACATAAAAATAAATGTGCATAATTTATCTGAATAAAATTTTAAATTTAATTATTAATTTTTGAAAATAATAATAAGATGGATGGTTAAGTTTTTATATAATTATAATATGTAAAACTTATATATAAAGAAATTTTTATCATATATATGAATAGTGATTTACTTATGCATTAAATCTTACATATTATATTTACACAAACTATGAATCATTCATCTCTTTATTATCAATTATTGATATTTATTCATATTTATTAAAAAGATAATTATTTTTTTACCTAAAAAACCATAACAAATCTTAATTATTGAAACTGAAGAGATAAATAATTGAAATTTTATATAAATGTTATGTGTAAAATTTATATATAAATGAATTTCGTACATATTAATATAATTCAAGGTATTCATTAATTTAAAACTTTTATTTTAGATTGAGATTAAATGTTCAAATTTTTATATTATTAAGCAATTAACCCTATGATATACAAAAAAAAAAAAAAAAAAAAAAAGAAGCTTAACTCTGAATTTTTTTTTCCCTTTAGAAAACTTCAAATATCAAGTTTTATTTTATTTTAATTTTTTTGTCTTCTACTTAATATAAAGTCTCCTTTAATTCTAGAAACTTTTGATATATATAATAGTTTAAGAATATAATAAAATTTATAATCCAAATATTTTTCAATTATAATTTTTTTATCATCAACATTATTGCTTTATAAAATATGTCAAAATATATAAAGTGAAAATTTATCCACTCATGGTATTGATACCTATAGCATATACAAAAACTTGTCTATGTAAAGAAAATAAAAAAATACCAAATATATTTTTTTTTAAAAAAAAAAGAGTTAAAGTGTTTAAAGAATTTAAAATTTAACAAAAATAATTTTAAGAAAATGAAAATTAAAAGAAAAATTACGTAAAAATTGTTATGACTTCCTAAACTGTCAATTAAAAAATTTTGCTAGGAACTTTTTAAAAGTAACTATATAGTAGGATTAAGTTTGGTCATTTTGAAAGGGTTGGGGACCACTTTGGTTCAAATAAAAGGTTGGGACAATATTTGATATTTATGATAAAGATGAAGGACTAAATCCAATATTACCCAATTTTGATTAAACAAAAAAACACGAACAAATTGCTCTCGTTGAGAGTCGAACTCAAGACCTCCCGCTTACTAAACGGGTGCTCTAACCAACTGAGCTACGAGAGCTGCTTGTTTAACCTACGTTTTTCTTATATAAAAAACGTTCTGTGGGTGCTCGAAAATTGCAATTGCTGGTTATGGTGGTTGCTAGCCCCGGAAATGGGGGACAACAAACATGAAATTGGAGTTAGGCTGAAATGTTACAGGTGTAACTGGACCACAATGCAAAAAGTTAGAAATCCATTTAAGTACATTCACACCTCACGGACTCGTTGAAAAGCAATTTAATCTAATTTCTTTGCTGTCAATGTACATCAAAAGAGCAAGGCAAAACTCAACTAAGTAAAGGTGAGGGATGGACATTGAATGCTCTGAAAATTCATATTGGAGGGTAGTGTCTGTGGTCCAGTATCTTTTTGGTCGAGCTGTGGTCCAGTAATCAAAGGTTCTAATTCGATGATGCATGGGCTCACTATGTGGCCCAAAAGAATTATTGGCCGGCTTTATGATTACAATTTACAAGCATTTTCCTAATGCAAGGAGTAATAAATGGGAAAAAGCCAGAAGCCTTTGTTGTTGTGTCTTTTTTCTTTCTATCTTTCTTTCTTTCTTTTTTTTTCAACAATGTAACAAACCTTTGTGCATGTTTAGTGCCCAAAATATTCTTAGAAGACATTTTAGTAGTTAAGGGCTTGAGTGTCTATATTAGAGATTTTAAACTTAAATCTTAAGATGAATAGAAACGATAATTTTTTATTATATATTTATCATTTAATATACTAAAAAAATGATTAGTACCCAAAAATCAAGGCTTAACTGCCTACAATAACAAAAGTTTGATGAGACAGAAAGGTAAAAATAATAGGGAAACATGAGATAGGAATGATTTACAATAGTAAGAGTAGGTGCCAAAAACATGATTTGTGCAAGTTGTAAATTTGTAATGTTGATTATATTATGGCCCATGAGCTGACAAGGATTTTTTTTTCGTTTTTTGTTTTTTTTTTAGAATAATTGGATTCATTGAAAGTCTTTTTAATCAATAAATAAAAAAATTTAATTATTTGGAGTACATTGAGATCTCAATCCGGATTTATTGACAATTTAAACTTTTGTGTTAGTTAAATGCTACTTTGTTAGATGCTTCACATTTTGAGTTTGAATTTGTTTGTACAGTTGGATTAGATCATAAATTATATAGTAAAAAAAAAAAAATACTCTTTTTCATTTATTTTAAAATTTAAATTTAAAAATTTTAATATGAATATTTAAACTCTTTACCACTTAAAACATCATTAGAGCACAATTTATGTTAATTATTTTTAATTTCTCTTCATGTTGATTGAAGTGGAAAAGTGGAGTTTAGTGTGGGGAGTTGATGACAACCAACTACAAATCGTACATGAGAAGGATGGATCACCAATGAAGCCAATATTATTTTCATTTTCCCATATCACACACTATTTTTCTTTGAGTTTTAGATTGACTTCATTTCCAGTTTTTCTATATTGGTAAGTTGAAGATATGTTGGACCTTGAGTCTAATTCTTCCACATCATTTCTTGTGTTTCACTTCTCACTCTTAAAATTTTGCCACTTTTGTCCTCTATCAATGAAAGAATAAAATCAAATTTTCTATTTGTATCTTGTATATATATATATATATATATATATATTTTGTGATCAATACATTTAAAAATTTTTACTCTTAATTAACACTTTTCATAATTTAAAACTCGTAAAAATCTAAAAATTAATAGTCATACCCCTTATTTGCACCATGATTTTATTGGTAATTTGAGGGCTTTCAATTATGAAAATTTTGGAAGGTGTTGACCATGAAAAAAATAATGTGTAAAGTGTAAATGAGGAGTTTAGCTAAAAAATAAATGTGAATTAGATAACAAATTATGGTAAAATTTTTAGGCCAAACCCTCTATTTACGCTTTAGACATTTTTATTTTTTTTTTTCAATCAATACCTCTAAAATTTTCACTCTCAGTTAATACCCTTCATAATTTGAAACCCGTAAAAACTCCAAATTATCGACAAAGTCAAGTTGCGAATATGGGGTTTTGTCTTTAGCTTTTAGGTTTTTATGAGTTTCAAATTATGAAGTGTGTTAATTGGAAGTGAAAATTTTAAACCGCAAAAAATAATAATGTTCAGGGTGCAAATAGAGAGTTTACACAATTTTTTAAGAGTGAGACATTAAAAATGAGACATAATTTGATTTCTGAAACTTTAAAAAATAGGATAATATTGTAGTTATAATATCACGTAAAATTATAAACTTATAACCATAATGTAACATTAAATAAATGACATATCATTAAACGAATAGATATATATAATATTACAGATATATCTTTAAATGAAAAGAATCAATTATATAATAATATATTATGTTGTAACTTTAAAATGACACATAATATTGTTATTATATCATTTTTGTTTTAAAAAAATTCTTAATTTGCTCTACAATAGACATTAATGGGCATTTTTCTGTAATAACTCAAAAGTCTCCTGTTCAAACCGTTTCATATATTTCTTAGTATACATTTATTTTTACAAAAGCAAGCAATAAAAATTAGATTTGGCTCTAACTTATTTTTGCTAGAGGTCATGTACTTGGTCGTCATCCTTGCATTTAAACGGGTTTAACTTGTCCCATTGGCAACTATAGTCACATACAAATATATACAATGCGAATGGTGAAGGCGAAAACACATATATGTGGCTCAAGAACAAAAGAAGTTACATTCATATTTCCATCGCTTTTCCATTCTCTGAAGAGAATGGAATGGATAGGTACAAATTAGCATACATATATGGACCATAGACATGACCATAAATTAGACGGCTAACTTACATTAGAGCTTCTAAAAGGCTATATAGAGAGAGCAAAATAAAGATAACAACAACAGAGCACATGTTGATCTGGTTGGAGTTATTAAACAAAAAGTAAGATTCCACCCCCCACAAAAGCAAATTAAATCTACTTTGCCCTGTCCTTAATCACATCAATCCCCATCTCGGTCGGGTCAGTGGCCTGTACTTCGTAATGAATGCCATCTAGCACTCTCCTCAGCCCATCTTTGGACGTTGCATACAGAATTTTTGCTCTAATTCTAGATGCTGTTGGGGACCTGAAATTTCCAAAATCAACATATCATTTCTTTAGCTTTCCTTGAATAATCTGAACATATACCTTTGTGTGAACTTACATTATCAGCTGGCTTTTAAAGAAAGGTAATTTATATTTAAACCAAAATCAAAATCTATGTTATCTTATTAACACAAACCCACTAAACATCTTTGTAATCTTCATTTTAGGGCAAAGGTTATACCCTAAGATCTTCTTACATACTAAATATCTATCATAACCTCAAAAAAGAAAAAGAAAATCTAAGATCTAGATCATAAAATAAAGACTCAATCAATTTTAAATTCAAATATAATTGAACAATATTAATCATCCATGTCCAACTAATCAATATTCTCAATCATATGCATATTATTAACCACAGACACAAAAATAATAGACTTATTGCAATTTTTTTATTATTATTAGTGGAATGACTAATCTGCCCTTGAGCAATGTGAAGCACATTCCATATCACATGGTCAGAATGGCCATGTTATTTTATTTTTTATTTTTTTTGATAAAACATGGCCATGTTATTTAGTAAGCATAATTTGACATTTCTATGGTACTACTAATATACAGAGTAATTAAGGAGAAATTAATAACATATAAATGACTTTTTTTTTTTTCATGGACAGGACCAGTAGTTTAACTTGAAAAAAATAAAATAAAGAAGGACAAATTCAAAGATTCAGTTTCTGCTAGTAGTGTTTTCTTCTTATATTTATAATAAAGGGGTAGTTTTGAGAAAGAC